CTAACATGTGAACCTGAGAATGGAGCAGAGATCAGCTCATTTTTGCAGCTTTTCTTACCTAAAACAGTGAGTTTAGTTCCAGCTCCAAAGTAAGCTTCTCTGTTGGAGCACAGAGACTTTCAGCTGGAACAAAAACTCTTCCTACGGATTCTCTTTATCTGTTCAAACTTGAAATGATCCCAACTTTGACACACATTGATTTACAAAGACTTAGATTTCATTAACTTTAGCATTTAGAGTGAACTTAGAGTTTCAGAAGTATCTTACCAAAAATAATTTCTGAACAATATTTCAGGAACTTTAAATGTTTTCTTACCTAAAACGGTTAATTTAGTTCCTCCACCAAAGAAAGCTTCTGCACCACTACCAGTGTCACAGTGCAGCTGATCAGTGTAAAAACCACCTGAGATGCTGCTTTTACTTCATAGTTTCTTTAAAACTTAGCCTCTTGTATTAATGATCCAACATCCTGATCCAACATTAGCTGCACTGCTGACTGTTTTATTTATTTATTTTTTTACAAGTTTAGCATAAAGCAGAACTTTTTTTTCATTCAGCATTTTTGCTTTTATGAGTTTTGCTTCTACAGATTCAGTCAAAAGAAGAATTTCTGACGTTTTACTCACCGAGAACAGTCAGTTTAGTTCCCTGCCCGAAATAAGCTTCGTACTGACACAGTGTTTAAGCTCCAGGACAAAAAGCTCTGAGCTGAAACTATAAAGAGCTTCAGTGCACTAAGTTTGTCAAAGAGCTGCTGGAGTTTAAAGCTTCACACATTTGTTTTCTCACTCAAGATTCTTTTACAGACCTTAACAACAATAGATTTCTTACCTAAAACAGTTAATCTTGTTCCTCCACCAAAGTAAGCTTCATAAGAACCAGTGGCACAGTGAAGCTGACCAGAGTAAAAACAGCCTGAGATGCTGCTTTGCTTTTTAGTTTTACAATAAATGTTGATTTCCTTTAAAACAAACAACTTCAACCTGTTTTTAACAGAACACCTGCATTACAAACATCTCAGTTAACAAGCTCATTGTTACTTTTAACTTAAATAAGCTTTTTTCTTACACTTTTTAGGAGCAAAGAGCATTGAGCCAAACTCTAACTGGACTTAAAAGTGAGACAATTTCAATCGTTTTCTTACCTAAAACAGTTAATTTAGTTCCTCCACCGAAGTAAGCTTCATTGGCACCAGAGTCACAGTGAAGCTGATCAGTGTAAAAACAACCTGAGATGCTGCTTTGCTGTTCAGTTTTGTAATAAATGTTAATTTTCCTTTACAACCAACAACTGCAGCCTGTTTTTTTTTTACATGATATCTGCAATTCAGACCTTTCAAATAATGAGCAAATAAGCTTAATTTAAACTTAAAAACGATGGTCAGTTTGGCTAAAATGGGAACAATAAAAGCCAAAAGGCTGAACTTAAACTGGATTGAAGAGCTAGAAACACTAGAGTTACAATGATGTTTCCCATTCATTTCGGTTTCTTACCTAAAACGGTTAATTTAGTTCCTCCACCGAAGTAAGCTTCAGCAGCATTGGAGTCACAGTGCAGCTGATCAGTGTAAAAACAACCTGACATGCTGCTCTGCTATTCTGATAAATGTAACTCCACTTAAAAACCAAAAACTGCAGCCTGTTTTTACTTCATATCTGTGGTACAAACCTCATTTATGAGCTTGTTAAACTTCATTTTAACCTTCCATAAACAGTCAGTTTTGTCCTTTTGCCAAAAGAAGCTTCATTCTAACACAGTTTATAAGAGCAAAAAGCAACGAGCTGAACTTTGACTGGATATAAGAGTTAGAAACACTCAGATTAGGATTCTGGTTCTTTTACTTTCTTACCTAAAACGGTTAATCTTGTTCCTCCACCGAAGTAAGCTTCATTACCAGAGTCACAGTGCAGCTGATCAATGCTAAAAACTGCCTGCTTTTACTTCACGTCTTTGCTTTTCAGCTTTGCAATAAATCTAATTTAATTTAAAACCAACAATGAAAAACTGTTTTTACCAAATCTCTGGTTAACTTAGTTTTAACCTTCTAAGAACAGAACGTTTGGTTCTTTGGCTAGAATAAGCTTTGTTCTGACAGGTTTTAAGACTGAAAAGCCCTGAGACGTACCTCAGACTGCAGGTGCAATGCTGTTGATGGTTTCTTGAGTTTTCTTACCTAAAACGGTTAATTTTGTTCCTCCACCAAAGAAAGCTTCAGAGCCAAAGCCAGAGTCACAGTGCAGCTGATCAGTGCTTAAAACTGCCCAAGATTCTGCTCTTTTTTCTGGCTTTTTAGTCTTGTCATAAATGTACTTTTCCTTTGAAACCATCAACTGCAGCCTGTTTTTACAGAAAATCTGCAACACGAACCTCATTATGAGCTCGTTAAGCTTCACTTTAACCCACCAAGAGCAGTCAGTTTGCCAAACCAAGCTTCGTTCTAACACAGTTTTTAAGAACAAAAAACAACTTAAACTACATTTAACAGCTTGAAAGACTCAACTGACAATGCTGCTCCTTGTTTAGTTTAGTTTCTTACCTAAAATGGTTAATTTAGTTCCTCCACCGAAGTAAGCTTCAGCATTAGTGTCACAGTGAAGCTGATCAGTGTAAAAACATCCTGAGATGCTGCTTTGCTCTTTAGATTTCTAATAAATGTAACTTCCTGTAAAACCCTCAACTTTAAGCTATTTTTTTCTGCAACACAAACCTCAATTATTAAACCTATTAAGCTTTGTTTTAACTTAATAAAGACGTCAGTTTGGTCCTGTGACTAATTTCAGCTTCGTTCTAACAGTTTTTAAGAGCAAAAAGCAATTAGCTGAACTTAAACTTCATTTAGGAGCTACAAATGATTACAATGCTGTTCATCAGAAGTTTTAGTTTCTTACCTAAAACAGTTAATTTAGTTCCTCCACCGAAGTAAGCTTCAGCAACACCACCAGAGTCACAGTGCAGCTGATCAGTGTAAAAACAGCTCAAGATGCTGCTTTTGCTTTGCTGCTAAGCTTTACAGTTTTGTCATTAATAGAATTCACACTTAAAACTGACAATGACTGCTTTTGCAAAATGTCAGTGATACAAACCTCAGTTAGCAGCTCGTTAAAGTTCATTTTAGCCTCCTAAGAAGAGTCAGTTTGGTCCTTTTGCTTCGTTCTAACACAGTTTTGAACAACAAAACGTAATGAGCTGAACTTCAACTGGATCTAACAGCTGTACATCAGGACAGAACAGAACTCTCCAGTTATGATGCTGTTTTTCATTTCTTGAGTTTTCTTACCTAAAACGGTTAATTTTGTTCCTCCACCGAAGTAAGCTACTGAGCCTGTACCAGAGTCACAGTGAAGCTGATCAATGCTTAAAACTGCCCAAGATTCTGCTCTTTTCTTTGGCTTAGTTTTGTAATAAATGTACTTTTCCTTTGAAACCAACAACTGCAGCCTGTTTTTATTAAATACCAGCAACACAGACCACATTATCAGCTCGTTAAGCTTCATTTTAACCAGTCAGTTTGGTCGTCTGACTAAAATACGCTTCGTACTGTCACAGTTTTTAAGAACACAAAGCAATCATCTGAACTTTCAGGATCTAGAAACACTTCAATTGCAGAGCAGTTTTTCACAAATTTTAGCTTCTTACCTAAAACAGTTAATCTTGTTCCTCCACCAAAGTAAGCTTCATAACCAGAGTCACAGTAAAGCTGATCAGAGTTAAAACAGCCTGAGATGCTGCTTTTACTTTACCTCTTCACTTTTTGGTCACTTTTACGTGTTCTTTGTTTTAAATACCAAAAAAAACAAGCTAAATCAGGACTTTGTTTTGGTGAATCAATGAGAAGAAATTCTGATGTTTTACTCACCGAGAACAGTCAGTTTAGTTCCCCGGCCGAAATAAGCTTCATAGTTGGCACAGCGCTGAGGCTTAATGTCAAAAAGTACTGAGCTCAACTTGAATTATAAACACCTGCATACTGAGAGTGTCTCTCTGCACTGCTTCAGTCACACATCTTCTTACATTAGTGGGATTTTAATGATTCTTTTCTTACCTAAAACAGTAAGTTTGGTTCCTTTTCCAAAGTACGCTTCGTTGGCGTTGTCACAGTGCAAAAACACTGAACATGAAACTTGTTCTCTGACTGAATTTTCATTTTTCGGTTTTCACTCAGTCTTCTGTCATTTCTAAGACTCTAAACTAATGTAGATTCCATCAGAACACAGAATTTAAATGAGATATTTACCTAAAACTGTCAGTTTGGTTCCTTTTCCAAAGTAAGCAGGTTGGTTCTGGTTCACGGTGCAAAAACACTGAACATGAAACTGTTTCTCTGACAGAATTATCTTTTAGGTTTTTACCAATTCATCTGCCAATTCTGCGACTTTAAACTAAAGTAGAACTCTTCAAAACACAGAATTTAAATGAAATATTTACCTAAAACTGTCAGTTTGGTTCCTTTTCCAAAGTAAGCAGGTTCGTTGTGGGTCACAGTGCAAAAACACTGAACATGAAACTGTGTCTCTCCTAGAATTATCTTTTATATTTTGACCAATTCGTCTGTCAATACTAAGACTTTAAACAAATGTAGAATCCATTAAAACACAGAATTAAAGTGAAATATTTACCTAAAACTGTCAGTTTGGTTCCTTTTCCAAAGTAAGCAGGGCTATCCTGGTTCACGGTGCAAAAACACTGAACATGAAACTGGTTTTCTGACAGAATCTTCATTTTTAGGTTTTCACTCATTCTTCTATCAACACTGAGTCCATAAACTAATGTAGATTCCATCAGAACACAGAATTTAAATGAAATATTTACCTAAAACAGTGAGTTTGGTTCCTTTTCCAAAGTAAGCAGGATCAGTGTTGGTCACGGTGCAAAAACACTGAACATGAAACTGTTTCTCTGACAGAATGATCTTTTAGGTTTTTACCAATTCATCTGTCAATGCTGCGACTTTAAACTAAAGTAGAATCGATTAAAACACAGAGTTTAAATGAAATATTTACCTAAAACTGTCAGTTTAGTTCCTTTTCCAAAGTAAGCAGGGGTGCCCTGGGTCACGGTGCAAAAACACTGAACATGAAATAGGTTTTCTGCCAGATTTTTCATTTTTAAGTTTTCACTCATTCTTCTGTCAACACTGAGTCCATAAACTAATGTAGATTCCATCAGAACATAGAATTAAAGTGGAATATTTACCTAAAACGGTCAGTTTGGTTCCTTTTCCAAAGTAAGCAGGTTGAGTGTTGGTCACGGTGCAAAAACACTGAACATGAAACTGTTTCTCTGACAGAATGATCTTATTAAACTTTTTATCAATTCTTCTGTCAGTTCTAAGACTTTAATCTAAAGTAGAACTCTTCAAAACACAGAATTAAAGTGAGATATTTACCTAAAACTGTCAGTTTGGTTCCTTTTCCAAAGTAAGCAGGGTAACCCTGGGTCACGGTGCAAAAACACTGAACATGAAACTGGTTTTCTGCCAGATTTTTCATTTTTAGGTTTTCACTCATTCTTCTATCAACACTGAGTCTCTAAACTAATGTAGATTCCATCAGAACACAGAATTAAAGTGGAATATTTACCTAAAACGGTCAATTTGGTTCCTTTTCCAAAGTAAGCAGGTTCAT